GAGGAAAAGGCGTGCTCAAAGCCTCATCCCAATTTGGAGTCACTCAAGACATCCTTGATTAAGGCAGCCGCCGATATTGACATGGACCTCGTTCGTGCTGCGATAGACGACTGGCCGCGCAGATTGAAGGCCTGTATTCAAAATCACGGAGGTCATTTGGAATAAACTTTAGTGTCATAAGAATCTATGTTTTGTTAAGTTCATTTTGGTATATGAATGGTTACATAATGAATAAACTTGTTTCAATTATTTTACATTAAACATGTGACAGAATTTATGACCCGACTAGGTATGTAAGTATTTATTTATTTATTTATTTATTTATTTAATCAACAATGTTTCAACAGCATTTAACTAGACACAGGGTACAGAGGATGTTTTCACAAACATGAGCCAATTAAAGAAACACATTATGTTTCCAAAAAATGTTATTTAAAATAAATTTAAAAAATAAAGTATCTATGAACAGATGCAAACAGCAAATACGAATTTAAATCAAGATTTTAATCTGACGAGTGCCAGAGCGCGTTAAGTGAATAAGCCTACCACAAAGCGTACCAACGACCTACGGGAATCTTCTGCCTGCCGACTGCGTAAGACTGGTCATTATGCACTCTATGGGCATAAGCATGGCAGAGGCCTAGGTGTATCTCGTGTTTGTTATTTTCATTGCATCACTTTTAAATTCGTATCGTATCGTTATAACTATTCAATGAATCCTTTCCGCATACTCTACTCCTTTTCTTGCCTATTCATCATCTTTCCATCTTAGCGACTCGCTAATCAGTCTCGTTCCAGATATTCTATACGACGGTTATTCTAATCTAAATATCGTAGTTTCGTTATCCAAAATCTTTTTAAACAAATGTAAAACTCCGAAGTTCATACTAGTATCTTTCGTCGTACACTTGAATTTCTTCTTTACTTTTTTTTGTTTAAAAGGAGTATGATTGGCCCATAAACATATTCAATTTCATCAGGTGGGTGGGCGAGCTGGAGGATTAGGCTGGGAAAACTTATTTCTTACTTAGCTCTCACTGAGACTGAGGCATTCATGTCCATGCCACACTTTCTGGAACGCCGTCGAAATTTGCTTTGATTGTTCTGTTCTTCTTATTTGTCTGCACCTTATCCCACAAGATGGGGTCGGCACAGCGAATTTTTCTATTCCGTTCTCTTCTATCAGCCGTCGTCTCTCTCTCATATCGTCATTCACACACTCCATCCCTGTCTTCTTCGGTCGACCTCTTCCCCTCTACCTTGCACTAGCATTTCCATATATCTCTTAGTCTACGGGCACGAAATTTGCGATGGCCGAGCGATGGCGACAGCGGGGCGACGCGACACGGAGCGGGTAGGCAGCGATATCTCGCGCGGGCACGAAACAAGCTGGCGGGCAGTCGCGCTTGAGCAGTGTTGTGCGAATCATGAGTTTACGTCGAAGAGAACTATTGGAGCCTAGTCTCCTATTGAGAGAATTATTATTACCTAGAGATGGTGTTCATCCAATAAATCAACGAAGACGCAATTTGGGAGAATTTTCTACGCTTTATTACGAGCTAAGGTGTCATTCAATGAAATTTTAAATTCCTTGTTAAATTATAAATTCCTCATTATCAATTTCCATTACTAAAATAATAATTGAACACAACACTGTGTACCCGCGCAAGCGACGAAACCAAACTAGTTTGTTCTCGTCGCTTCCGCGTCGCCGTCGCCCCATCATCGCCCGTACATCGCTCGATCGCCCCGCTCCGCCATCGCCCGTTTCGTGCCCGTCCCCATACTGTGCAATGCTTTTGTATACATCGCCGTCGCGCCGCTGTCGCCATCGCTCGGCCATCGCAAACCTCGTGTCCGTAGACTAAGTCACATACATCGCAACGTACACAACGAACGCAACAGACATTAATTGTTCTGTTGCATTCATCTATTTTCTTCTATTATTGCTAAGATGTTTGAACAAATTCAAGGCCCACTTGGTATTAAATGGTTATCGGAGCCCATAAACGTCAACAACGACAATGCCATCCTCTACATTGTGACATGATTTCTAAGTGTCAGTTTTATAGTACAATGGATGTTCCACTCTTCAAACCGAAACACATTACTACTTCGCGGTAAAACTATGCAGAATGGACCTACCTATGTGCCGCTTCACAAGACGTGTTACCCGCAGTTTAAGACGCACTACTACCATAAAAACGAGTCCACTTAGTTAATAAAATGGTCACTTACCCTGGCATGCCAAGGATACCAAGTGCTAAAGAAACAGGGTAGGGACTAATGTCTGGCAAAAGGCTGAATGGTGCAAAACCTGCATTTCCTTTTAATTTCTCAGGGTTACAAATTGTATGGGTACGCCACCCAAAGGAACCAGTAACGTATTTGCCAATCGGATAATGTTCATTTCGGCTGGCAACAATTCTAAAAAATTTAAAAAGTATTAGGATACAAAGTATGTATACAATTTTGAAATTGAAGGTTGTTAACAAGTACTGACTTTGCAACTTGACCGCCAATCATATCAACAGGTAATTTATACCCTATCATATAGGCACGCATAAATGGATCCACGCTGATGTACTCCGCTTCAGTTAATATTTCTGCAAATCAAAAGAGCTCATTATTCACACGTTCGAGGAGGTTCTATTTGTTTTTGATAATGATAATAGACAAAAATAATGGCTTGACAATCAAACCGAAAATATTGTGGTCACTTTTTTTCTTCTCTTGACTAATCAGTTAAATGAAAAATGAATTAAAAAAGGACTGGAAACTTCTCGAATGATAGTTACGTTATGACCCACCAAACTGAATCCGGTCTAAAAGGGGTACCGGAGCACAAGTGGCAAGACTGGGCGGCCTGACTGCTACCAACCGAATAAAATTATAAATCGATAATTCTTTATTTATTTATTTATTGCTTAGATAGGTGGACGAGCTCACAGTCTGGTGTTAAGTGGTTACTGGAGCCCATAAACATGTACAACGTAAATGCGCCACCCACCTTGAGATATAAGTTCTAAGGTCTCAAGTATAGTTACAACGGCTGCCCCACCCTTCAAACTGAAACGCATTACTGCTTCACGGCAGAAAAAGGGCGGGGGGTGGTACCTACCCGTGCGGACTCACAAGACGTCCTACCACCAGTAATTACGTAAATTATAATTTTGTGGGTTTGATTTTTATTACACGATGTTTTTCTTTCACCGTGGAAGTCAGTTGTGAACATTTGGTAAGTACGTATTTCATTAGAAAAATTGGTAAACGCCTGCGGGATTCGAACACCGATGCATCGCTCGATACAAATGCACCGGACGTCCCTTAAGCCTTATCTCTTAGGCCACAACGACTTTTCCGTTTATGAATATTAGTACCCAGTCAACAATTCAGATTAATTGTAACTCAATTTAATAATGACATTTTATTCTAATCAAACTAGCAGAATTTCAGACGCCACCGGCATGAATTCGCCTGGTCTATTTACTTGCCCCTTGCCTTCCGTAATATTTAATAACTTGACACATTTTCCTAGCTATCTTTCCACCTTATCCCCATTCTGAACTTCTCCTTTTCTATTGGGTGTGCTAAAATCGTACTGTCGATCTCTTTACTAAGAAAACAAATTTGATATTAAATACCTCCATCTCTTAGATCGGGGAGTACTTCTTCTACTAATTGAAAGTCAGTTTTCTTCGGTTCTCCTTGAAAATATTTAGTAAGCACATATTTCTGGGCTTTAATGATGCCTGATCCGGAATATAATCTTTTAGCAATAAAATGAAAGTGGAATAACTTCATCGTAAATATCTCAGTATACCTAAAAACAAATCAGCTGTTTAATCTGCGGCCAACCCCAACCAGGTACCATGTGACTAGAGCAAGAACAAGTCATTTCTATACCAATGGCATGCTGATATTTTAAGTTTAAATCCGTTTACCATACTAATTTACATTCTGCTTATTAAAAAAACCTTAATATCTCACTTTTAAGTAGCTATATCTAATTGTTTTACTGACATACTAATAATTATTTATTAATAATGAGGCGTCCATTAAATTACATGAGTTGTTCTAGGGGGTGGGATCAAGCTAAATCTTTCCAAATCTCACACGTATCATCACGTAATTAATAGACGCCCTCTAAGCTATTAGCCAAAATATGGGTATTTAAGTGTATTAACTATGATGAAAAGCAGTCTTGACCGCATCGTGCAATAAGCTGCTAGTACTTTTGTGTCATACATCCATAATAGTATGTACCGCTAAGTAATACCCTTAGTAATCTATGGTTTTAACCTTCTAATTCAGTATAGTTCACACGTACAGAGCTATAATGGCGAAGTCTTGAATTGTTATACAAAATACTTGTAGTTTGGCTATTTATCAAAAATTCCTAAATATTGTTTAATCTAAAACATCGAATTCTATGTTAACCTAACCCTGATTTTAATGAAACTACCTACACCTATTCTAGTATTTGTAGTAATCTGTGTGACGCGTATAAATAAATATCTGTTTAAAAATATAAAAAAGCAATATGGTCGAATTTGGCCCATGTCGCGTTTTGTTTGGATAATTATGATATTGTCCAACCTATACCAGAATTTGCGTAACTTTTACACACTTTTTTAAATAAATCTAGTGATGATTTCCGTGGTTGGCCGTGGTAAAAGAAGAAAAGCGTACCGAAATTCTTGAAGTGAAGATCAATGTTATAATATTTTAAGGTCTTCAGATAATGAATTCTGTCCAAAGCTTCAACTGTATTTTCTGTAAAGAAACTTTTGATAACAAAGAAGATTTGCAAATCCATTTCAGGTACAATTAAGTGACATGTAGTTATTACAATCGAACCGCATCCAGCGTAGTTGCAATATATTTTATCGCCCTTGTTCCAGAAAACATGGTGATCCAAGTTTTAATAAAAGTAATACTAAGAAGCGGTGTACGAATGAGACAGAAGAGGCTAATCCAAAGCCAAACATCAATACAGAGTTGGTCGGATGTGATGTCTGTTCAGAAGTTTTTCCAACAATATCAAGAGCTATAACTCACAAACATAAAGTTCACCCAGATCACGATGCGAAGTATTTCTGTCCCTGGTGCGGAAAACTTTTCACATTGAAGGTAAGTGCATTAGTATTAGCGACTGATAATGTAAAAATGATGACCTCTATAATAACCCCCCTCACCTCACCGCTGTCACTCGCGGTTGTCGTATTTTTATCAGTTTATTTTAATATGATGTTTCAATTTCAACTAAAATCATATCTGTAATTTTAAATCATAAAAATGTTTGTATAATAAATGATTCAAGGAGTTTTAAACTAACAACAATTAAACAACAGATAACAGTAACAGAGACAATTAAACTAACATTGAAATTATTATTTTATAAAAACAGTTTAATAATTTTTAATGTTTTTGGGTAGTGGCTTCAAGCCCATCTAGAATGGAAAGGTTACCAAAGCAATTACATATCACTATGTGTCGCCATGCCAAAACTGGAATTATGAATATTAAAAAGTAAGCTCATAAAAATTTGTTGTTTTTAGCATTTGTACAACAAGCATTTGCAGTCTAACCATGATGAACTTGATAGGACGGTTGAAAAGCTGTTTCACTGTGATACCTGCAATATTGACTTCAACATACCATCTGCAATGCTTTATCACAATAAGTTCTTTCATAGACAAGACACTGATATACCAGAACTTGGACAATCAACAAAATTAAGAGCATATAGTCAGGTAAACTGTTGAAAATCTTTCTTCCACTTTTTTATAGTACACAAACATGTTGCAAATGGCTTTAAACCCTGCCCTGCCATTCAGGTGCAGACTAAATCAATGTATTGATTGACCACTAACAACTAATTTCTAGAGTTCACCACTAAATGGTAAGTATAGTAAAGTAATTAATAGATGTTATTAGTGAGTCATAGTCAGATTTGTGATCTGTATGTGAGTATAACTCTGAGGTTGACATATGTTTGGACTTGCTTGGGTAGGCCATATAACGCGGACTTTGGCTTGAGCAGCCTTAATCTGGTTACTACTCTCAAACGAATGAACTAGCAACCTACTCATGTCAAGGATTTGAGATTTTTATTACATTTTTTTTATCAGATTGTGGGATAATACACCAATAATATTTTGAATGATTTTATTTACAGTTTTAAAATGACGCGTCAAAAAAAAAAAAAAAATAAGTTCTGTTTATTGAAACTGCAAAGCACAGAAATTAATATGTATAATACTTTAGTTATTTTGTTATCTATGATTTATTTATTAAATTATTATTTTACTTACAGATATCAATTCCAATTTACTATTGTGCATTTTGTGGAGAAGAATACGAAAATAAGGTCAATTTACATGTAAGTATAAAATTAAAGCGATTTATAAATAAAGGAGAAAAAGAAATGGTGTGTTTATGTAAAAAATATTAAAGTAAACATATTTAACTAGAGGAGGCAGCAGCATTTTAAGATTAGGCAGCAACTTTGCTATCCCTTGCCAGTGTATTGTTTTTTTTATGATTGATGGATTACTGGTGACTCAAAGGCCTTTCCTCCAGTTTCACCAGAATAGGTGGGCGCGCAAAGGCTCACCCAGGAGGGGTGGGATTTGCTAACAGCTGCCTTAGCGCTTCTAGCGCTAGCTGATGCATGGGTTAGGTTGCACGTCGAACTTTTTGCCGAGTTGACGAGTATTGTTACCGGAGTCCCTAAGCTGGCTCCTAGTCTTAGAGCTGAAGACGTCTGAATGTACTGAGCAACAATGACTTTGTTATGAGATAAAATGAATGCTTTGTCTGTCTTTGGTTGATAAAAAACATTAAACTAGTAAAATCTAAATAACCTGATACATTTGTAGTTTATATAATTTTTATTTGTAGAAACACATAATTGATGAGCATGGTGATGAAAACCAAAGTCCACAGGATGTAATGCGCTGTCCCCTCTGCCAAGCCATATTCTTTCACTTAGATGCATATGAATTGCATTTAACTTTTCATTCATCGGATGACTTGTATGGTGGAAAAAATGAAATGTAATTATAAACTTTTAAATTATTCTCCTAATTTTTTTTAAAGTTCTAGAAAAATTAAAGTGTAAAAATAATTAAAAACTTAAACTTACAACTTTTTTTTGATGGACGAGCTCACAGCCTACCTGGTGTTAAGTGGTTACTGGAGCCCATAGACATCTACAGCGTAAATGCGCCACCCACCTTGAGATATAAGTTCTAAGGTCTCAAGTACAGTTACAACGGCTGCCCCATCCTTAAAACCGAAACGCATTGCTGCTTCACGGCAGAAATAGTCGGGGTGGTGGTACTTACCCCTGCGGACTCACAAGATGTCCTACTACCAGTAAGTGGTAGGTATTTAATAGTTAAACCATAATTATTTCAGAGTAAATTAATGATGTATCTTAATTATAATCCACTTGTATAAAGTGTATTAATACAGTATGATTATTTTAGAACATTCAATTTGTCAGACTACTCATTGGATACAGTACCACCTGTGATGGAAAAAGTGGAGGATTGTCAGGCAATTCAAGCTGCTGAAACCACTGTGGAAGAAATAGACATAGTAAGTTATTTGAGTCGTCTATTATCAAAGGTGGCAATCTGTGCATTTGGAAAAAAAAATGTTATTGATATGTCAATACAGATTGATTTGAATATAATCGTCTCCTTCAAAGAATACGGTTCAAAACCTGAATTAAATAAAGGTTAATACTTAACCTGTTATTTATCTAAAATGTCGTTCAGAAGAGTTTTGTGACTGCCAATAGAATACAAAGTCAATAATTCGTTTTTCTGATTTACCAATAATTGTCCAAAAGTCACATTGCCGGCTTTGATAATAGTCGACTCATTTGTCTTAATTTTCTTAAGAAAACTTATTGGGGTGTTTAATTAAAATCTAATTTTAATTTAATTAAAATTTAAAGTTTTAATAAAATAGAGAACTACATTTTTTTATAGAATAACCTGCTTGAGCTCGCCATGGAAGAATCAAATGATCAATCGCCGAAGAAAAGTAAAAAACATAAAAAGCACAAAAAATCCAAAAGATCTGCAATTACCCTGGATGAGTTCCTGAACATGAACAAAGATGTTTTTGGGGAGGGCATCGATATCCAAGGAGTTGAAGAAGTACCCACGAGGGCAATAACAAAAAGGCTTAAAGTCCTTAATAAACCTACATCTGCTCGAAGTCCTGAATTAGAAAAACTAAAGAAGCAAGGAATAGTTGTTAAAAAAAAGCCTAATAAAAATATTAATATAGCCCATAATTTCAAAGTTTCTGACCCAATGTTATCATCTCCAAAAAATACAACACTGAACCCAATCAGAACTATACCCCAGTCAAGTCCAAAGCTTCATTCATCTGAAGAAGTACTTTCGAAGCTCATCAATCAAAAAAATAATCAACTCAAAATTGTGAAGAAATCTTGCCAAGAAAATCCCGGAGATAAGCCCATGACACAAGCTATTGATAAGATCTCCGAAAATAAATCGAATTTATTAGAAAACGTGAGAATGGAATGTGATTCTACAAAAGCAGAATGTGGACTTTTGCATGAGTCTGAAAATCACGATGATATTGAAAACAATTTGCAAACTTGTGAAGAAGATCACCAGTCACAACTAGATAACTTAGAAATGAATGCATCTACAGAATCAAAAGTAAACCCGATTAAAGAACCTATTACTTCACTCGTGGCTTACAACAATGTTGAAGTAAACGAAGAAGATGATTTCAGCACACAAAATAGTTGCGATAATTTGGATAATTTTGAAAATTATATTCAGGATCAGAAAATAACAGATTCTACAGACTTATTAGAAAACAAAAACCATTCAAATAGGGCCGAGGAGGTAAAAATTAGTTCACTAAAGGTAAACAACGTCATGTCCAATGAAGTAATAACAGCTGTTGGCACCAAAAGTGTGATGAGTAATAAAGAACGTGACGACTCCGCTAAACAACTTGAAAATAGCTCCGAGAATTCTTTGGATGCCTTAAAACATCTAAGTCATCTTACAGTGAAAGCGGTTAACAATAGCAAAGAAAATGAATCAAATATTAACAAAGCTCTCAACGATGACATTGTTAAAACTTCGCAAGTCCAGAATTCAAAATCCGAAGAGCATGGTAAAAATAAACTTACAAAACAGGTTAACAGCTATCCTAGCAACTCTTTAGAAGCCATTAAGCATTTACCAAGTATTAAAATAAAATCGGATAATTGTAACAAGAACAATGATTCTGATGAAGAAAAACCGAATGCTGAAAATAAACAAAACAATTTAATTGAAGATGGAGAAGATCATCTTGGTGGTCAAACTGATTTGCTTAAAAAACCTATTAACTTGCCTCAAAATAAACCTACACAGAATAAACGGCATATTATAGGCAATTTGCAATTAGGTCACAATATAACAATCAAATCGCTAACACACTCTAAAAACGAAAACGATACAGATAGTGATTCAGAGTTCAATAACAGTGATTTTAGTAATACAGAAGATAATGATCTTCCAAGCGAATCGGAGGCTGGTGAAGAACAATTTAGAAAAAAAATCCTAAACTTCACAAATATTCAATCTCCTAAAGTCACGGCTATCACAAAAAATGAAACTGTAGAAAACAAAACTCCAATTAAGATTGCTAATAAAGCAAGCGAAGGTACTAATCTACTAAAACATCTTAAACACATAACAGCAAAACCAATAAACCAAGTAATAAAGGGCACGATTCCAAAAATAGTTAATAGATCGCCAAAACATACTCTAGATATTAATAAAACAATGAAAAAAACAAATATTAAAGTTGAAAGAAATGAAGACAATATTGAAGTGTTTAACATAGATGATTCCGATAGTGATGAAATCGAAAATACAGAAAAAATTGAAACTAAAACTATGGATCAAAAATCTATTGATGCGTTAAAACATCTGAATAAAACTGTAACAGTGAAACCTTTAAAAAGTACTGAACCTTCACCCAAAGTTCATAGTGGAGATTTCATCTTACCGGAAGAACCGCCGAATGTTGTGATTAAGAAAGAAAGAGACAAAATCGATCCTAAACTGGAAGCCATTAAGAATACACTGAAGAATTTAGGAAATAATATAACAGTAAAATCTAGAAATACATCTCCAAGTCAACTACAAGCGCGAATACAAAACAAAGAAACCCAAGAACAAGCATATGATTCAAACGATGATAGTCATTCAGATTCTGATATTCACCGAGTAAAAATAACAGAATTAGATGATAACGAACATGAAATCAGTAATGAGGCAAAGAATGATAATACTGACAGCAATGTCCTAATCCAGACACCCGACGATTCTTGTAGCGAGAACGAATTTGAAAATTATGATGAATACGACGACAATGCTGATATCGAAGCACAAATAAAATCCAGTACAGTTCCTAAAGCTAACGAAACGTGTGACTCTTCAATAAGTACAATGGATTATGTAAAAAAAATTGGTAAAGACGTAACAATAAAATCTACAGAAAATAAGAGTGCTAAATTAGATGGACCTGGAAATAATTCACCAAGTTCGGGTGCAAAAATTAGTACAACGACAGAATTTCAAAGACCTAACATCGTTAAAGGCACACCAAACGTTGGACGTAAAACGAACCAGACTATGAAACAAGTGACGTCGAGTAACCAAGTTAATAAAGAAGTTACAGTACAAAGATATCAGACGCATACAAAAACAGTAATACAAGAAATAACTACGACCGTTACGAAAACTATCAAAACTGTCAATAAAGAAGTCCGGAACGTTCAATCTAGAAGTACATTTATACCGCAAAAAGTAAAGGGAATGAATACGAACCCAACGAAAAATCTAGAAGGTATCGTAGTGAAGCAATCCGTACCGAATCAGAGGATAAGAAATACCCCTATCAGACCAACTTTAAGTAAAACTATGAAATTATCAAATGAACTTGTTCCTGCAAATACTCCAGTTCGACCCTCAAATCAATTAGTCCCAGTCAGGCCAAATGTGAGACCGCCTAATCCGAGAATGCCAAATACCGCAAGGCTGAGACCACCAGTGCCCAATGTACAAAGCCCCAGATTTGGGAAACCTTTGAAAGTTTCGCCTGGAGCTATAATTAATCCAAAAAGACCGAATTCAGAGGACGGTCCTTTTAGTTGTTTTAAAAAACCCAAAGAGTCTCTTTTACCTATTCCCGAATCATCAAATTTGGGTCCGAACGACGATGGGCACGTTGAGTTCGCATCCTCTTCACAAACTAGTAAAAACTTTATGAGCGCAACTAAATCTATCAAAGGAAATTCTATGGTTTCTTGCGTGCAGATGAAATCGGAAACGAGTGCCAGCTCTTATCAATTAAATAAATTGAGCAACATGTCAGGACTTAAAGTAACGAAAATGACCCAAAATAAACAATCACCGGAAGAACAAAGCCAGGCGAATGCATCCAAACGAACTATTGACGCAATACAGAAACTGCAGATGCAAGGTCTTTTAGTGAAAAAACCTCGATTAGATAGTGAAACTCGATCGAATGAAGATAGTGAGAACTCTGATGCGGGAGCTGATGAGAATGTCGACTACAGTTCACCGGCTGAATAATTAGGTCATTAATTCACATTGTCATAAACGTGCAGACTGATTTAGATTAACTCCAGCGTGATTTCAAAAAAGATGCCAGATGCATTATGAAGTTAGAAATTTTCCAAAACATCAATATATTGTAAATATTTAATATTTATTGATAGGTGAAATGAATGTGGTTGTAATATTGTAAAGTGAATACACTGTAATGTCTTTTTGTGTTGATGTATATTGTGACGTGAAGAATGTTTCGCATGTACTATGTTCACTGTATATAATAAATACAAACGTGGCCATTGCGAATGGTGTCAGTCCTATGCGACCATAGACGATTTACTACTTTAATAAAAAGTTATAAGAACATAATATTGTTTTTTTTTCCTGACCACGTTTTTGAACTAGCAAATGTTTCAAGCTGAAACGCATTATTGCTTCACTGCGGTAGAAATAGGCAGAATGAGGGTACCTACTCATGTGGGCTCACGAGCCGCTCTACCACCAGTAAAGGGAACTTTAACATAACATGCAATTTTAATTTATAAATCTCGTGGGCGCGTTGTTGCAGAATTTCTTCTATTTTAAGATTGCTACCCCTACATGTGCTTCATCGAGCACTTTGTAGATGAGCAGTGGCTTCTTGCTCAGAAAATGTCGCGAGATTCAGGCATCTGTCAAATACCTTGTGTTCTGTTATAGCTACTGCCACACAATTGTCGACGATACGATAATCATAAGTTCTAGTTTAAAATAATACAACATTCAAAATTGAATCTTTTTTTTTAAAGAGTAGGCATAATAAGTATGTAGAGTATCGTTGGATCTGAGCGATGTGTCTATCACAAAATTCCATTCAACCCCATCTGTGTAGCCCGTTGAGTTTCTCGCCGGATCTTCTCAGTGGGTCGCTTTTTCGATTCGGTGGTCGATTTTGGGAAGCACTGCTCTTGCTAGGACCAGTGTTAGCAACACCTCCGGTTTGAGCTCTGAGAGCTCACCTACACGCTACGGTAACGCTGATATAGCTTCTCAAGGCTATCAGCATAGGTAGGAAAAAACATGTGTCCTTATACGACGTGGCATTCTACAAGCATTAAAGTTTTATACAAACATACAACATAGGTACAAACTAGTTTATTTTTTATATCTTGGATGTTTGGACAGGCTCACGGCCCACCTGGTGTCAAGTGGTTACCGGAGCCAGTAGACATGTACAACGGCTGTCCCACCCTTCAAACCGAAACGCTTCAATGCTTCACGGCAGAAATAGCCAGCGCGGTGGTACCTGCTTATGACCATGTGCCTGCATGTGTCTGGACTCACAAGACGTCATACCACCAGTAAATACACAGTTGTATGGAGTGCCAATTCATGTGTCTTTTCGATCGCTTGTTAAACAATTGTGTACTTTCTACGAAGATAAACCTTAATGGAAATTTTTCTATTGCCTCTTGTGTACAGTAGTTATGGGCGATAATAACAACGTAAATACATATTACCAAATTGATCTATAGTTAGATCGTCCTCCACCCATCTCATTACGACCAAAAATGTTTTTATCAGAATCAATATCACATTTAATTAACATTATATAACATAAATTATCACATTCTGTGCATCCCTGATGTGCTTTAAGTTTATTGTATTAGTCTAGCTTACGGCGTGCGTATCCAAAGTTAATTAACTGTTAGTATAAGCAACGATCTGTGTGTTTATATTTATGGGGCGGCATTCTTCTTGGGGCTGATTTCGAAGTGTCAATTATATTGGAATAACGTTTATCTTTTATCTTCAGATCCTTATTGCACATGTGACTTTGTTGCTTTATGGCAGAAACAAACAGGCACATATGACGACACCATTAATTAAAAAATTACAATACTGCATAGCTAGTAATTGCTCAAAAATGGTTGCTCCTAGTAATACCAGGTTCACCACGTAACATCTGGTTTTAGAGCTCCTGCTCTGTATTTACTAAATACTATATATCCCTCTTCAACAAAGGCTTGAAGAGAGTCCTGGCTGATGTCCATAAGCGGCAGCGACTGCTTACTATCAGGTGAGCCGCACGTTGGTTTGCCGGCAAAGGCAATAAGAGAGAAAAAAACACCAATTAAGTGACCCAATTCTAAAGATTTAGATTTTACAAAATACCCCGAGTATGCTATTAGGACTACTGGCCGATACACAAATCGCATACCTACTGACAAATAATCGAATAGACTGGTTGATCTTCGTAGGTCGGCGTTCCATTTGGTCAGGGGATGCCCACATTTGCCCATTTGCGGTGTGCACTCGAAAAATATTGTAAACCAAATTAGCTAGATAAACATCACATCTAACGCTAGGCAGCGACTTGGCCCTGCCCTGGTAATTTCTAACGTTCAAAAGCGATGGTAACCACTCAGCGCCACTCACCATCACGTGGGCCGTATGATAGTCAGCCTACAAGGAAAATAAAAAAAATCGAATGCGGCATGAATTTATGATATAGAATGAATTAATTAATATGGTATTATTTTAAGTTCTGTCAAATTGAAAATACAGAAAACCGCAACAGACGGGTAACATCTAATTTAATGAATTTAAATATCGCAATTCAAGGAAACCCAAACTGTATCAAATACGTAGATTTATTCTAGAGAAATAACATTAAAATTTTGATGAAACAGTAAAATACGAAAATATATATCGCATGTCCATTGATCAAACACCTATGGGTCAGATAATTATTTAAATAAATACACTCGTTTCGTTTTAATATCATCACAATCAGTTAGGCCAGTCTCTTTATTCCGCTTTCTGTTCGACTTTATTTTGTCGCCATTTTTGTTCCTGAAATATTGAATTGTTTGTTAGTAGACCACAACATTAAATTAACACAAAACTACAACAGATAATTAAATATGTATCCAAGTGATTAATGGTAAGTTTATTGGGAAACTGCTTGTCCGGTCTCTAAAATCGAATCTGCGTAAGTGAACTATACCAGCTAACGTTAATCACATATTTATATTCAAATGTACTTCTACGAGGCAATATTATTAAATTAAATTAGTTATAATTCAAAATTGTATTGGCTTACGGATTGCTTAATTGATATTTGCCTAGTTATTCCGTAGCCGAAACATTGCTTTGGATGATAGTGATGTCGCGATAAACGTAAACATATCATCGTTCCAGAAATATATTTTATACCACTAAATACGTGTTACTATTAATCGCCTTTAACACAAAAAGCAAAACTACTGTATGCGCGCGAGTTCATGTCCATTGAATTGGGATTTAAAAAATATTTTTCTCTATTAGAGATAAACAAGTAATTACTTATCACATTTGTTTTATTTCATAAATTGCAAAATTACCTTAAGCTACATTAAACCAAATTGACGGCTGTTGACTAAATCGGTAGTTATTATCGACACTACCATAATTAACTAGGTCACAGCACTACCGTATTCCTCGGGATGAACATGAACTCGCGCACCTACTATACTTATAGCGTGAACAATCAACATGCAAAAATGGTTGAAACAAGAAAGGATAAGCTAATAACACAAGTTAATAACGAACAAATTCAAAAACATTACAAGTACATAAAACTGATAGTAAAATGATTTTTAGAAACGTATATTGTACAATTACTAAATGTTTATAAACACAATAAGTTTCTAAAACTAATACAAATAAAACAGGGTATATTTTTTTTAATCATTATTATATATTCAAATTCATAGCAAATTTTAGGAGAAAAACTCAAAACCGAAATTCGTTTTGATTACAGAAACACCCTAAAATCATCATCATGATACTTACTGTGACGAAAAAATAATATTTAGTTATAATTTATTACTCGAATGCATAATTAAAGTACTTTCCAATTTGGTACTCTGATGCTCGGTGAAAAGGTTTTTTCCTAGTAACGTGATATTAATTTTTTTTTCTCCCATTTCTTGGTCTGCACGGTTTGTGCGTCAGCCATATGAGATTAATTACGATATCAAGTACAGCGATTGACGTATTTTTTTTGAGTTTTTTTTTCCAAAAAATAGCAGAAGCGTGCCGCGATAACATAAAAACGAAGTCAACGCCTTTATGAATTACAGCATGTTTACACAGACTAAATAGTCAGCAGTAAAGTTTAGTACCGGTTTAAAAAATTATTTTCGACCAGCTTCTTTTGCTTAAAAAATTAAACGAACATCCTTTTTTATTACCACTTCGCAATTGAGACTGCTTATTAGAACGCCTTCATTTGAAATGAGCAGCAGACTCCAAACGGTACCGGATTTAAAACGTTACGGTGAGACTGACATTGTTATGCCAATCGTTCATTCTAATTAAATTGAAGCTAATATTTATTTATTTATTGCTTAGATGAGTGGACGAGCTCACAGCCCAACCTGGTGTTAAGTGGTTACTGGAGCCCATAGACATCTACGACGTAAATGCGGCACCCACCTTGAGATATAAGTTCTAAGGTCTCAAGTATAGTTATAACGGCTCCCCCACCCTTCAAACCGAGACGCATTACTGCTTCACGGCAGCAACAGGCAGGGCGGTGGTACCTACCAGTGCGGACTCACAAGAGGTCCTACCACCAGTAATTATGCAAATTAAAATTTTGCGGGTTTGATTTTTGTTACACGATGTTATCAATTGGTATAAATCGATATTATCAATATCAATTGGTACAATTGTGACAGTTTTTTTTTTAAATTAACAGATATTTGGATACATGTATGTTACGTGCACTAGACGACCAAATTCAATTGGCGCCGAGGTAATAATTGAGTTATCTTTTCAGGTTCTAGTAATCGCTCTTCTACCTATTAGATAACTTCAAATGACAATTTTGACATCTGCATCAAAAACATAAAGAGTGCTGAACACCACAAGAAGCTTGCAAAAACGTATCCCATCCAATTCCATTTATGGTGAATTGAAGCCCAAATATTTCAAAGTACCTTATTCTAAACCAGTATTCAACTAAGACGGATACGAAGCAACCCTGACAGCGGACAACGACACAATTATTATGTAAAATCAACATTAACTTTGTTCAAATTGACTTTAGTTCTTCGTAAAGTTGAAAAAATAAAGTAAATCAACTGAAAATTTCCATTGTTTTGTTGATTTTTCCGGTGAAAATATTAACAAAATTTTTAGACGAAAATCTTGCTTATATTATATTCGTTGTCGGCACGTACCAGTACGACGATCTCATTGGAGAGCCGATACGCAATGGCGCGCAACTTGTATCTCAGTTTCAGGCCTCCTTTAACCTTCCTGCGTAATGTCCTTAATATGGTATACATGTTGCAACAGTGCAAAGTAAGGAACAAGGCAGCTAAATATGGCACCTGTCAATTATTGCAAATAAAATTAAATAATACAAGTACACAAAGCTACTGAAAAACAAGTTTATTGGCATCGCAAATAAAATAAAAACACGTTAACACATATTATTTTAAACACACCGATATATATATAAAAATTTGTACACGGTTAAGAATCCAAGCGTTTTAAGTACACTTTCATCGTGTTTCAATGTTGTCAAAATAAAGAATGCAGATTATTCTTTTCAGAAAAAAAAAACAGTACTATGTCATATGCAATGCATAATATTTCTACTGAATCTTTAAATAGACGGGACATTAAAAAAAAATTAAAACACCCTGGGAGATTCATTTTAGCATCCAGACAATTCGCAAAATGTTTTGTTAATTTATTTTTCAGTATACATTTCATTGATACAATAAGCAGACAAAATTTAAACATTAAATATCATTCAGAACAACCCAAGTATTATGACTAGCTAGATACCTTTTATTCGTACGCTTATTCGATTTCACATAATATTACATAAATTCTGTCATTATTCGAACAAAAATATACATAGGTACAACGTCGGATAATAGGTTTTCTTTATTTAACTTTTTGTATAGGCGATCTGATTAGATGGAAATTATATCTATTAAGATCTTTTCATTAATCTAACCGCTTACATTCTTCCGTGTGATTAGCTCTTAAACAAAGCAGTTAATTTTATTTATAAAAGAGATTTGTGGATGATATGTTGACGGAATTATTGACCGAAAAATAATGTAATCTGCAATCTAGACACGATACATGATTTGTGGAGAATTTTTTGTACCTTCAGTTAATTTAAAAAATAAAAAAGTTAACTATGACCTTCAAAATTATCAATAGAATTTTCATAATTTTAAAACAAAATTTCTTGTTTACATCTGTAATTCTTCAGAGTATTGTTTTACTGAAGTTTGTAAAACGGCTGGACTGTTTTTTATGAATGTATTTGTGCGTATTTGAGTGACTCCCTGTATTGTTTAGATATAAAAAATATCGGTTGAAAATTTTTTTTATGCATTATTATTTTAAAGACAATATGATGGTAACATTTAAAAAATAATAGTGTGTATTGTTTTTCTTTTAACATAACAAAATCATAAGTTGCCCGTTCTTTAGGCCAACCAACCTGCGACATGGTATCAAAGTCTCAATTAATCTGTATAAAGGAATACTTTAGGGACGTCGTGCTTTGCTTTTCTAAATCGATTAACATGTTTATACTATAATTATAAGGATCCAGAATTCCAAAGGTTTATTAATACTTTAAATAAAGGGCTATTATTTCTCGACCATTGATACACCAAATATGTAAATTTTTATTTTTTGATACAACTCAAGAGATTCAAATCAGTGAAAAGAATAAAGAAATAATTAGAATGTACACTAAGCTCTAAAATACGAAATCAGTAAATCCAAAAAATAAATAATGAATGATTGAACTGAATCCAGGAGACACGTGGATTTGTATAAATATAAGTGCATTAATGTTTATGATATTATTTGCACATAAATGTTATTAAACAAAAAAAAATACAATGCCATAAACCAATAACACCCACCTTAACATTTTATATGTCGTCACGAGTGTACTATCTCTCAAATTTAATTTGAATTATAGGATTTTTTTTTGAGATTCTTTTACCGACGAAAAAACTGCACTACTGCCTTTTTTGAAAACTAACCGTTTTCTTATTATTAAGATTTGCAGTTTTTTGACAAATTTTACTTGCTATTCTTTACAAAATTACACGGATGATCAATTTGGTGTAGTACAAAATTTAATGTTAAACTTTGCACTGAACTTTTACAAACATAGAATCCACCACAAGCTTTGTTAAAATCCCTCTATTTAGTTTGAAAGCAGTAATATTTTGTTTCTAATAATAAAAAAACAACCTTCAATAACTAAAAATAAATAACTTAAATGTAAAAGAATAGAAAAAAACCGTTGAAGCTACTAAATTAAAAAGATCACAACTCTTTCCATTACTATTAATAATGAAGCATATAAATTAACCATTATCGATTGCGCTATATATATGTATATATATACAATAAAATAGAACTACATCTACAAAAGAGACTTGGTCCACACGAGAATTTGATACTACAATAATGCATTCCAAAATAAATAAGCATTACTCCAACTATGTGGCATAATAATAACAATAAAAATAATATTGACAAAAGCTTATATAATGCAGGTAAATAGTGTAACTAGTGTATATTGCTGAAAAGTTTTCAATCTACATATAAACAGGCAAAAATAAAACAGGTAAGTAACATTTTCTCTTCTATTTGTTTCGTAGGCTAACAGGGTTACCATTTTAAAAAAATTGGAAAGTTTTTTTTGGGGCTTCTTAAAAACGTCAATAACAAAACAAAAGAGAGAATATAACTTATTTAAATCAAAATATTGCAGTGTTCATTCGATTCGATATATATCGAAATTATTCGTTGATAATGTTGCCATTAAAAAAAAAAAACTGAAAATCAAGCCGTTGGAGCAGCGCTAGGAACAATCCGGGTCCGGATATAAAAAGCGTGAGTCCGTTGAAGCGTTTCGTTCGGTTGCGTTGTCACGGTACCTTCTCGCTGAGCTTCTGCGGGACCACGATCATCGTCGTCACCGTGTTCCCGATACCGATCAGCAGAAACGACATGCTTAGCGCTGCCACCTGTTCGGTTATCCGTCAAGCGGAACGTTGTAATCAAAGTTTGGGGGGGGAGGTCATTGACTTTTGTAGCACGCACACGCTGTATACAGGGTGTAATGAAAAACGTCATCGAAAACTTAGACTGGTGACGGTTCTGGGAATTTCTGACACAAAAACACTATGGAAATTGCAGTTACTTTATCGTAACATATTTTATATGCGATAGAACGTAATTTAATTTAGGATTTCCAGACTGAGGCATGGTATAGCACTTTCAATGAATTTAATCGAAATTCATGGAATACTGTCTATTCCAGATTAAAAATATATGGTTTTTTTTTTCATTTTATGGCAAGACTAAATTCATACTATAAAAAGGCAACTCGATACAGAGCTTTGTGATATCGATTTAGAATGAAAATTTTAACGATCAAGATGTACATTTAGCATGAGTTTGACATCTTTTTAGAAAGTATTATTTTTAAGAGTTTGCTATATAGCACTCTCGCCATTTAATTGTAGTAGAAAACACGAAGGGTATTTATTTATTTTGTTTGACTATTTTCTTTTTAAAATTGCTTATTATTTTATTGACATCTCGACTTCGGGAACGTTGTCATTACACCCAGTCACCCCCAAACAAATCTTTATTGTACTAATTAAATTAATTATTAAAAATACAAAATTCATAAATCATTCTTACTTAATATATCCATGATATAAAATGTAAATGCTTATAAATCAATTATTGTGTAGCTAAATAACATATTTCACTAACAGTTTAGAAATTACTTGTGGACTTTTGTTGTATACAAAAATACATTCAGACAAATGTACTTGAGTCACTGAAAACAGAACAATAACTAAACTAGAGAGGTCAATGACCCACCTGGTGCTGAACCAAAACCCATAGATACCATAAACTCCAATGTCGCCACCTATCTTGGAAGACATGATCGAAATCTCAACTGTATTGTAAAATGACTCTCACACAATTCAAACCAGAACGCATTACTGCTTTGCCGCAGAAATAGGTAGTATAAAGTTACTTACTCGTGCGGGCCCACAATACCACTAGTAAGTATAACAATATAAATTTTACCTAACCTGCTTTTTACTAAAACTTACATGACTATGTTGATAATAGCAAAAACAACAAATTTCAACTACATTTAATACTATTTCAAATTTAAAAAAAAACTCATACCTGCCAAGTCGCCTCGGGATGGTAACTCAAATGGTACAATGTATAAGCGATGTACAGTTGAAAAACATATCCCCCAAACAAGAAAGGCAATAGATATGATAGACCACGCCACATCCACGAATGGAATCCTTCGATCGTGATATCCATATTATGCCTGGCGCCCAAGGCTTTGAGCCTGTATAGTACTCCACTCTGGTACCTGAACTGCATGTATTGTACAACACCTGGAAATTATTAATTGGTTATAATATATATAATCACTTTTTTTTTTTTGCTTTTTTTTATATATTTTTATTGCCCTTGTAGGCCCGTGGACGTCATCAATTCCAGGTGCAGAGCCAACCTGCTGCCTACCGTTTGTTATACTTGGTGCAAAAATGTCTTATACATATTGATAAATGTGCTACTTTTGACTCTTTCTTGGAATCTCAACTACAAGTATATCGATTTTAAATAAATTATTCAAATAAACCTTATGAAAGTAAATATTAGAATCAATGACAATTTGAAATATTGAAATCATAGAGAATCGATCTTATGATCCCTAATAAAAAGAATTAATACTAAGGAATGAAATGAATTAAGTTTTTTTTTAATTACTGACTATTGACACTGTGTGATCGGAGAACAAACAGCCGATGTTGTTTAAATTGATTGTCGTCTGTGGTTAAAAAATCTGCGAAGCTAATGAACGATTTCACCTATGTTGCCAATAATTAAATTAGAAATCCCTATTTCTGATGCAAAGCAATCGTGCCATCTCCAACGAAGAGTAACATAAGACTTTTTATAATTATTTAGATATGGAAACAAGCTCATGTTCATATGGCTCGGTGAGGTCTGAGGTTGAGGTTGAGGGTGTCTAAGGTGTGTTTTTGTTGTAGATCGTAATATTAACTTACTTATATAAGCAATAAACCACATGAAGGTGTGCCTAAATTCCTCCCAAGGCTGGTTCTGGGGCCATATAAGCAATATTCCCGCAACCACCGTCGATATGAAGTGATGTAAGCGCCACCATCCTTTTATCCTTGAGCCGTTCACTTTAAGTATACTCTCTCGGATCGTAAGCGTGCAGTAGTACCAGACGAGAAGAAAAATTAAAATCAATTGCAGCGGCCTGAAACATTCATATAGGAAGACTGAATTAATGCCGGAACAAATATATATACGCTTAAAAAGTATTATGTACTCTTTTAATTTTCGTTAATTCTGAATGAATGTATTTTAATTTATTTTTTTGGATAATCTACTGTATTTATCAATATATTATTATGTTTATTGAAGACAGTCAAAAATTCGACGCTCTGATTGAACATGTACAATTATTACTTTCCAAGCCAGATCAGGTTCGATTGTAAATGCCTGAAAATCCCTATCAGTTGAAGCATCTTGGGCGCCACCTTTTGTAAGTTTATGGTGGTACTATTACAGGAACCTTCCATGAAGTGTAGAAAAAGTGTAAAGTTTCAACTCAATCAAACTTTTAACACACTTTTATTAGCTTTGGTCTTTTTTTATGACGGTGCAGTAATTTTATTAATATTTTGATTAGCGTAACCAGGCTAAATAATAACAATATTATTTTAATTTAGCTTTGTTATTAACGCGTTCTTCTTTTTTGTTTGAAAATTATATGTATTCGTATTAATTCTACGTAACAGCACTATCGGTTAGAACGGGTTAGATTATTATTAAGTTAGGATCACTTACCTGAAGTCAATATACAGATTTCCTACAGCTAAAATAAATGCGATCGCACTGAGGATCAATTTGAATTTTTCATACTCGTCTTTGTATTTAAATCTGAAAACATAAACAGCTTACAATTGCACATGCAAAATATTGCGAATGATGAGTGAACGTGGTTTTAAAGCTGTGATTTGATAAATGACCAACATTGCGATAATAGTTGATTAACAACAACACTAGGTTAAATTTAGTTTGTAATTCTATATAGACTTTTTTTTCATATTCGAGTGAACGAGCTCGCGGCCCCCTGGTGTCAAATGGCTACCGGAGCCCATAGACATCAACAACGTAAATGCGGCCACTCACTTTGAGACATCAATTCCGAGTCTCAGTTTTATAGTAAAACCAGCATTCACGCATTTTTTTTTTTATTGCCCTTGTAGGCAGACGAGCATACTACCTGTTGGTGAGTGGTTACCGTCGCCCATGGACTTCAGCAATCCCAGGGGCAGAGCCAAGCCGCTGCCTACCGTTTAATACTCTCCATAAGCCTCGTTTGAAGAAGGACATGTCATAGCGCTCGGGAAACACCGTGAGGGTAGCTCATTCCATAGCCGGATGGTACGTGGCAAAAAAGACCTCTGGAAACGCACTGTGGATGACCGCAGTGGCTCCAGGTAGTATGGATGAACTCTATTCTGGTGGCGGGCGGTGCGATGGTAAAAACGAGATGCCGGTATCATCTCGAACAATTCCTCAGAGTATTTGTCATCAAAAGCTCAAGTAACCTTGAAGTCAAAGTCCGCGGTTCCGCTCTTCAAAGTAGGAGACCTTTAAATATGTTTCTAATAACAAAAGTAAGGCCATTTAACAAAAAAATATTCTCATGGAATATAGACTCACTTGTCATTCTTGTTTAATATAGATACATTAACGTTTCCTAATATGATGCGCAGATATAAGCTGTTCTGTTTGGGGAGCGTGGCTTTTATCTCGTGAAGCATCGCTTTCCTCTTCATTATCTCCTTCTCGAGGTTTGTGACGCGTTCATCTTTCACACCGCCTTTCTTTTCCAACCTGTTGCATGCATTAGAGGAGATTAAAATTGTTTTTTTTTATCAGCATAATGCAGCTGATAATGCATTTTTCATCCATGAGTCACGTTTAAGACTTTTTTAAACAATCAGAATGTTTAATGTGTAGTTCGAACGCAAATCTTTGAAACATTAAAACCGATACTACGGATTTGTGTTTTTTTTTTCTTTTGTTTATCTGTCTTGACTGTATTGTTTAGATCGAATATTCAAAGGAACGTTATTAGTTTAAAATATTTTAATTAAGAAGTCAAGTCGTAATTACGAAGAAACCTGATTACGTTTTTACGGCTCCTGCTGTATGAAAAACTTATTTACAGCGATTTTTTTTCTAATTGTAAATTATTGTATGTTGTTTATTGCTTGATTTTTTTTATCGCTATCAGATATTACTAAGTTAGAATAATTCAAATCGGATTGGGGTGTTGACAGTCAAACGAAAACTGACGCACGATTTGTTTATTTATGCGGTCTACGTCCCGTATTAAGATATGATTTCAGTTCCAGAGGTCTGGAAGGTCCAGAGGCCTTTCCAGCTTCAACAGGACAGGCAGGCGAGCACGGGCTCAGCTAGGAGTGGGATTTGACCTGACCGTCAAGAGCAGCTGCATCTACTACCGCCTCGGAATCGCGACCCGTTGAAAAAATTCAAACGACAAACTCAGCGGGCTGATGCCATGGACTAGGTTTCACGTTGAACTCTTCGAAAAGTTGGACATCCCTATTATAGGGCAGATTCACCTGAGTAATCAAGGAAAAGTGCGAGTGTAATTTCCCGTTGGAATATTGGAATTTCTTTCGTGATAAAAGGTAGTCTATGCCACTAAAATGACCTAAAACTATCATTTAAAAAAAATCAAGACAACCTGTTGTTTCGTTTCGACATGAAAGAAGGACAAATAAACCCTCTTCTTCGTTAAAGCGAAGGCGTTCAACAGAGTCTGGCACAACGGTTTGATATACAAACTGTATAACATGGGAGTGCCAGACAGACTCGTGCTCTCTCATCGTGGCCTTCGGTAACTACATTGCCGATCCTGCGAACCGAATGGTAAACAGTCGACGTCGCCCAAACACGTCTTCTCGGATCCTCTAACGGTGCTTTTACGTGCCCCAAGCACAGGTCATCGTTCTCGTTGAACTCGTTGCTTGCGACGAAGGGCTCGGCGAGTAAATTAACCCACAGACACAGCCCACTAAGTTTCTCGCCGGATATTCTCAGTGGGTCACGTTTCCGATCTGGTGGTAGATTCTGCAGGGCACGACTCTAGCTAGGGTTCGTGTTAGCAACATCGTCAGGTTTGAGCCCCATGGGCTCACCTACTAGCCCGATGACGCTGATATGGCCTCTCTAGAGTCTAAACAATCAGCTTAGGTGGGAAAAAAGTGCGCGATGATGGCGCATGGGTTAGAATTAGTTAAGAGCGGATCTATGGACAACTTGAGGAATTATCTAAAGGTCGAGGTAAATGACTTAGACATATTCCAATATTGATGACAGAATTCAAGTTGTACGGTCTCTGGTAAACTTTTAACTTTTGTAGCTCTACATAAAATCAGAATTTTCTAGAATACCCTTAAATTACCTTCTCAACATCATTATCATTAACGAGTTTCATAATAATATCTTTTATTATAGATAATCTATCGAACTTCACCCTAACGCGGTTGCGGCAATGGAAAACACAGTATTACGTCTTATCATCGAAGTGATTAAATTTAAATAAAATATTAATCTTCTTGATAATGTTGTCACTATTTTGCAATGGTTCGGTGATAATGTTTTTATTATGAACAAAAGACAAGTTTTTCACGAAACATCTTTAACATTAAGTGGCTATTGTCAAACTATAAAAACTGATTAAGATTATTAAAGATACGACATTCAGTAAAAATATATATTTAAATAAAATTCAAACTGTTTTTGACATGCGTAATTTTCAACATTCCGATTTTATTAAAACTATGTATTATTTTATATACATACATATTTATAGGAATACATAATCTTTTTCCATTATTTGGGTATTATTTGATTCCTACGAAATTTTTATTTTTTTTATTTTGACAAATTTTGTTCGAAACGGGTATTTGCTTTGTAACCCAGACAACAGATTCTATTTTTAAAGGATAGAGTCATTACTTATAATAACATTATAACTTTTTTAAACTAATCATAATGTGCGACAGCAGGTGGCAATTGATGAAAATTTTATGTAAAATTACTTATATGTACATACTTCTATAAGTTAGTATTTCATTGTAATTGAATTATTTCCCAAGTCACATGACGTTCTTTTAAAGACAGTAAAAATGAAAATTGCCTACAATTGAAATTCATCAAAAAAAATATGGTTGGGCTCAATCATCTGTCTGTCTCATAAACTCTAAATTATAAATAACATTCTTTTGATTTTTTAAAATTTGAATTCATACTTTTTTAGTTTGTTATTCATTGAAAACGTAAACCCTTTGCACTTTGCACTTTGTAAATATTTGCAGCTATCTATTGTCAACAAGGAAATCTGTTATCAAACGACATTAGACTCAATCATGTGTGTATGTTGTGATTATTCTGACCTTAACCTTGTCATTTAGTTTACGGAAATATATATTTGCAAATTATAATAAAATGATTTAGTCTTGTCTTTAAAAAACATTTTTTATTACATTTGATGAATAGTTGACAGAGAGGCTACTGGAGTGTGTGGATCAGAAAACTAATGTAATAAGGTTCACCCAACAGTTGTCAAACCCAGCCTGCTTTATTGGCCACTCTTTGGTTTGATATTGATCTTATTAGCTACTAAGCTTCAAAGTATGACACACTAATCTGAAGATTTCCTGGAAATTCATCAAAATTGCTCCAACCATTTTGGAGTCTTTAGGGAACATATTATATACCAACATTGATTTTTATATAAATATTCCAGGGGACCTACTTGATCAAAGTAATTGTTTTAACTTAATGCACAGTCTTATGACTAGTTTTTATTCGTGTACAGCTTTAAGTTTATTTACCTTTTCAATGCAGCATTAATAATTGACATGCGATATTTCTGGTGTTCCAGTTCCTTCAAACATGCTGCTTGCAGTTCGCCAACTTCTTCTAATTTTGTTGTGTACTCTTTATTGATAGTCTAGAAACAAAGTTATGAATTTTATTATATTCTCTTTTTTCTATTTATTCACTGGTAGCTGCTAATACCAGCCCTAGAAGGAGCAGTGCTTCACAGATCTAACATCAGATCAGAATTGCAACCCCCTGAGAATATTATATTTGTTTATCAATACATATACTAACCCTGTACTTTGAACTATAATAACATAACCATATAAATCATACTATAAAATACGAGTTTAACATAGGTATCTAACTGGCATAATCTGTAAAAAAGATAGGCATATAAAAAATAGAAAATTTTAAAATATTTAAGCTAATTTTAATAATTTACAATATAATGCATAGATTGATCCAGTCATGTAGAGTTTATGTAATTTCTAATCATTCTATTTCTATTAATTTTTGTCAGTGGTGAGGTCGTAAGGTTCTGTTTGGCTTGTGCCAGCGTATCAATTGGAGAAACACGTCTTTCCTTCATAAGTGTATATTGACAACTACCGCTTAATCGTAAAGTCAATTGAGACTACGTTTTTAAGTTCAAAATCGCAAAACAGAATCACCAGTCAGTTTAGGCTTTAAATAATTATTATATTGCTATGTTAAATATTTTTGTAGACAATAATATTCGGCTTCTAAATGAGAACTGCAAAGCTTTATGAATTTAATATTTTTGTAAACACAATAAAGTCTTATATGTTTTAGAGCACTGAAATTACAATTAATATATTAACTTAATTTTAGCATAGTAAAAGCAGCTTTTCCATTAAATGTATTTCGAACAAATGGAACAGCGCCTTCCAATAAACAATATTATATTAAAATTCTGAATACAATATTTTTATGGGTCATTTTTAAAACAAACTTTATGGTCAGGTAAAATTAGCTTTAAATTTTTACAATATATCTTTGTAACTTGAAATTGTAGGTATATATTTGAAATTATATTTAATGTATACTGTTTCATTAGGTTAGAAAAGTACTATGCCCTCTCTAATTAAAATTACACATCTTGGGATGATTAGTCACAATCATATTCAAATGACTTATACTGAGGAGTTTAAATAAACAAATGAATAGCTTAAAATATCAATATCAGTACCTCTAAGCGCTTGTAATCTGCTACTAAATCCTCCCATTCCTTCACACATTCTTCAACTTCCATCTTTGGGTGGTTCAAGTGTTTTCACAGCAGTTTCTTCAATATTTATTAAGTAATCCGGTCAATGATCAGATTATCAACTCCATTTTACATATTATTATTGTTATCTGAAAGTCCGTGCTCTTGGTATGCCACTTGCGGCGTGATTTGAGGCAATTTCAGAGAATTTACTGTAATGATGTAAATTTCTATTCGATATCCGTTCAGGTTGGTGTCAATTGTCAAATGTGCAGCTTAACGTCTGTCAAGAAATGTCACTTGTCATTCGATTTATCGATTTCGTCGCACTAGGTACCGGTAAAATGGGGTGATTCGGGACAAATTCCAACTTGATGAAAAATTTTAAGGTAGTTGTTGGTTTAAAATGCTATATCAGGATCAAAATGATTGAGTCTTGGTGCTATCTTTGTTATCCAATTTAAAGTTAGGCAATTAGCATTCCAGTTTAAGCAAAAAAAGCAAAAATAGGTGCTATCCCTATTTACCCAGAAATTGTGATTATTGGGGACGAAATAAGTGTTAATAGAGAAATTTACTAGGGCTGGCACTCCTTGGTTTTAATTAATTTATTTATTTAGTTGCACCAACAAAGTGATCATCAATAAAAAACATTGAAAAACTGACAAATGACAAAAGTACATGGCAGACGGCATGAATGATATGTGCAATCGACAGTGCATTGACAACAAATATAAAAATATATAACTAAAACTTGATTACATTTAATTACTTAAGATTAATTAATATTTACTTGGGAAATTATCCGCGAGATTTTTCCTGTAAGTTGTGAGATAATTAAAAAAAAAACTTTTATTCATCACTTAAAGTTAGTTCAGCGCAATCGGACAACTCCGAATGAACATTGACGGAGACCGCGCTACCGTGCACATTATTGTAGTCCCAAACGATTCTGTTTAAGGGAGAGTAAGCACCTAAATTCGAACGAGCGGGCTTTCTTATAAGCGGTTTATATTTCTTCGTTCTTAGTAAGTACTTAGGGGCTGATATTTTTATCTGGGTTAAGAGATTAGGTGTGTCCGTTATTCCATGAATTAATCAGGTGGATACCCCCACTTTGAACAAATGTTAATATATTTTATTATGTACTACGAATAAATCTTCTTCTTCTTCTCAGTCGTGTCACTCTTGACAGAGTGGTCGTGATCGTCATGTAGTGTTGGAAGGATAAGGATATAAAATAATACATAATCTACGAATAAATAGACTTATTATTTATTCGTTATTAATATTTAATTCGTTAATAATAAGTCTATTTATTCGTAGATTATGTATTATTTTATATCCTCTCAGTCGATCGGGTACATAATCAATTCGATGTAACAGCTTTTTTTAAATAATCTACTCTTTATTATAAGGTTTTTTTTATAGCTTAGATGGGTGGACGAGCTCACAGCCCACCTGGTGTTCAGTGGTTACTGGAGCCCATAGACATCCACAACGTAAACCCGCCACCCACCTTGAGATATAAGTTCTAAGGTCTCAGTATAGTTACAACGGCTGCCCCACCCTTTAAACCGAAACGCATTACTGCTTCACGGCAGAAATAGGCAGGGTGGTGGTACCTACCTGTGCGGACTCATAAGGTGTCCTACCACCAGTAATTTTACTGTTTACGTTTTCTTTAAATTACTTTATTTTAGTGTTTTCGCAGGCAAACAAGTCAACAAGTGTTATCACCGCCACTTGTGGATATTATCTAACGATAGCCACGAGAGTCCTTTCAAAGCAATGGCATGGGAGTTTGCATACCTGTGGGTACTATCTTCGAACCTCGTTTTTTTTCCTACCTATGCTGATAGCCTTGAGAAGCTATTTCAACTTCTCCTTGACGTGTAGGTGAGTTCACGGGGCTCAAACTGGAGTGTTGCTAACACTGGCCCTACCAAAGACAGTGCTTCGCAGAATCTATCACCGGATCGGAAACGCAATCCACTGAGATCTGACGAGAAACTCAGTGGGCTATGTCTATGGGTTAATTTACTCGTCGACCCCTTCGTCGCAAGCAACGGGTTCGGCGAAGACGGTGACCGGTGCTTAAGGTAATCTCGTTTGAAGATCTCGTTACGCTTTGGGAATACTGTGAAGTACGCGAGGAATAGCATAATGAAAAATTAAACAACACTTCCAGGTAGGTAGTAGGGATGTACTGCTCCAGTGGCTGAATCTACTATTGTTAAAAATTATATAACTGTTTGAAAAAGATTCGATACATATATGGTTGTTCCAATTTTATTATAATTCGAATACGAAATAATAAAAAAAAACCCTTTGGAATAAATTAGGTATTTAATTGTTTATTTATTTACAGAAAACATTAAACCAAATGTACATTTAGTTTTGGTAATTTTCCATGAATACAGGCAAATCGTAAATGTTGTTTACATACAAGACTGCCGCGCTATTTGTATTTAGTACTAGAAGGAAACAAGATATTTCTTCACACGTTATGCAAACATTTTTAGCTTTTATTTCTAATATATTTAAGCATAAACTGGTGAGTGCAAATACCTACTTTATTCAATAAATTGTATTACAAACATCTTAAAATTATGCATCATACACATTCTACTTTGCAAACTACCATTTTTCAAAGAGATCATACTATTATGGTTGTACAAGCATTTCATCTAAATGCGTAAACTAATAATATTTCTTTAACTTCTTATTCTGATATTGATACAAATTTGAAATTAGACGAATATTCGGAATTATCATTGTTATTATTATTATTTTTAAAACCCCAAGTTGTAATATTATCTACAAATATTTATCACAATACAAGAATTTTGATACTGTTGTATTATTTTAGTAGTTCGGTGAATTGTGATTGTGATAATCTTAAGATAAGAGCATGTTAGATATAATAGCTATTTCGAATTAGTTTTATAATCTCTTTGAACACGGCATATGGATTTATATGATATTAAGCAAATCTAATGTTCATTAAGAAACAATCTATTACATATTTTATAGCTAACATCATTGCCGTAACGTAAGCATATTTTAAGATAAATCTATATATACTGCGGGAAAGCAGCAAGGCCTACGTCTAATACAATATTAGCGATAATGCTGGCTAGCTCTCAAGAGTAATACACAGGGCATTCATATTTTACTCATGCACTAGCCGTAACGGCAAAGCAGAATATAAAATTACACCATACATACTTTATTAGAACTACGTAATCGATTATTTTACCAGGCAACACAAATAATTCAATAAATAACTTATATATTGAACTAAATAGGCATTCGTTTATATGAATCTAGCTACCGCGAATATGAAGTTGAAAGTAAAAATATTAATCGTATAATCACACATTTTAATTTAAATTAATTTACTGTATGATAAATTGATAATGACGTAAAATGTAAAGACAAACTTGAAAAACACACAAATAGCAATTCAATGCACCTAAAACAGCAATTTTCGTTTGAGACGTTAAAGTTAAAAAAAACCTCACTATAAATAAATAATTATTAATAATAATAAAAAAAAAAACATCAAAATATAACGCACTAACTTATAGTTAAAGTTTTGAATTGCCAAAACTTAAAATAAGTCCATATGAAACTGATATTGTAAAAGCGCGTTGACTAAATTGCAGTTTCGTTTAAAAACGATTTGTAAATGTATGCACATAGAGTTGCGGTCTCCATAGATATTCATTAACGCTGTTAGCGTTGCCAGCCAACAAACGTAATGAACATCATATCGAGTTGAGACGAACATCTACAGTCTATGTACATTGCAGATGGGAGAATGAACAGGCATTCTGGTGCTCTAATGACATGTGCTGATCAGTATGACTATTTTGTAGATGACTGTCATGAATAATCATCAATATAAAATTTAACATAGCTAAATTAAAAATAAACAAATCAAGGTACAAGTTCTTCTAGAGCTGACATTGTAGAAATCATTTAACTATTCGTACGAAATAAAATTTATTAACTAACACATTCTTACGAATAAACAATAACTATAAAATAAAACAGATTATTGAAATGTTAAATTATAACACAGCTTTTACTCCCCACTCCAACGTTTCGATCGGGTGAACGTTATAGGACAAATGCTACGTCATCGGTTATAGAGAACTGACATTGTACACGTCTCGGAAGCAAGAACAAGCTGATAACTATCTAGGATCGTATTTTAATGGAATGTGCGAATCTATGCCAAAAATATAAACAGATTACAAATTCAATTTGAGCCGGATAGATCTAGATCATGAAAGTGCGTGTACAGTGATAAAGATATCATCGGTGAGTTTAAGTTACTAAAATGGCAATGCTTCTAGCGACACTCCCAAACTTTGACGGTCTGATCTACGCTGCCCGATATCACGTATGGCAAGCTTCTGTGGAAATCTGAAAATAAAAAAACTATTCTATTAGAAAAGAATAGAAGACATTACTTCATAATGACACAGATGTTTAAATTTTAAGTCTCTATTACAGTGGGACTTTTTGGCCAGAACGCGAGGCGTGGATTTGTGTGATTCGTTTTCTTTTGTCTTTTTAATGTTTCTTCAGGTTTAAATGTGTAATAACGGTGGTTTATTAACTGTTTAGTATATGTGAAAGTGTACAAATGTGGTAAAATGAAACAAAGCCACTGAACGTAACTTCTCGGGATCCTTCAAAAAGTCCACTGAAAAAGTCTCAGTAAATGACCACCAGGGAAAGGATAATGAAGTATAGGATACCGAGGCTGGTGGCGAAGTGGTGATGCGCATAGAGGGTCTTGAGGCAGCGCGTGTGCGCGACGTCCCAGACGCGCAGGGTCTTGTCGTCGGAGGCGGTGAGCAGGTAGCGGCCGCCGGGGTGCCACGCCGCGCCGCGCACCCAGTTGTCGTGCCCCACCAGCGTCGCCAGGCACTGGCCCGTGCTCACCTCCCAGATCTGGTGAACCGGTCATTCTCAATATTCAATAATTCGTTGGAGATTTTTTTAAGCTACAAGCCGTATTCAATGATCTTGCCTCAATTTAATATACGAGTTGTTTAATGGCGCCAAAAAAATAGATTCAAATTTTTTTTGTACTAGTAACTAGTGTTTAAATAATGTAACTTGATCAAGCCCGATTTTTATGAATACTATTATTCTATTTTAGATTTCATAAAATTTTAGGTAATTTACAAATAATTATTAACTTAAGAAACACATATTTTACAACTATATATTTTAACACAGGGTTGGCAACTTATGATTAGAAGACAAACCATGTTAATAGTAGGTAGGTCAAGTAGTGTAATTGTTTAATGGATAATGTGAGTAAAATTCCTTACATTATAAGTTAGATTGTTATCGTGTTTTTTTTTTGTTATATAGTTGTAAGGACCACTGTGTAAAAATGCAACACTAGTCGTGCGCCCATGGCTTATGTTGCAAGCCAGTTTTTTTTTTTTTTACTTGTTGTTATTTTTTGTGTATCTTTGTGGCTTGTGATGTGCATTGTGTGCCTAAATAAAACATAAATAAAAAAAAATAAAAAATTGTCATCACAAGGTTTATAATTCGAAACCCAAAATCCAAATTCAACAATATCCCTAATCCGAAACGTCTCTTTAATTCTTGTACTTTGGTTGATTTTGAAGCGCGGCCAAAGTTTACAGACCCATGTTCTAGTTTAAATAATGTACGCATGTGTAGTGTATATGTATAGTACCTTAACGGACTTGTCCCTCGAGCCGCTGGCGAGGAAGGGTCCGGTGTGGTTGGCGCGGCGGTTGTCTCCTCCGGCGGCCTCGTTGATGGCGGCGGCGGCGGCCTCGGGGGCCCACGACACGCACTCCACCACGTGCTCATGTTCGCGAAGTTCCATCTGACAATCACAATACATAGACACCATTCAATATACGTAAGTACAAAAGCTAAACTGATTTATTCAATAATCTATAATGCACTATACTGAGACCTTAGAACTTATAACTCAAGGTGGGTGGCGGCATTTACGTGGTAGATGTCTATGGGCTCCAGTAATCACTTAACACCAGGTGGGCTGTGAGCTCGTCCACGCATCTAAGCAATAAAAGGAAAAAAAATTGCACCAAGTAGCTCAGTCTCTTCTTCATCGTTCCCTCACTGCTAAGTATCGCGACCACATGTGATGTTCCTCCAGTGTTCGATTGTGGGTGGCATAGACCGCATGGTATAGATTACCACCAATCGCTTCTTTTACCAGATCTGACCATCTGGTTGATGTTCTGCCCACGACGCTCTTGAAATTATGAGCTTCTCTAATTCGTCTGGGGGTATGCATGATGTGTCCGAAGAAGTACATAACACGTCCCCGATAGATGGCAGCTTTTTTCGGATGTTTAGCTCCCTAAGAATGGACTTTAGTTCTCATGGCAGTCCACGGTATTCGTACTCTTACATTCAAAGTTCCCATACGTAAATATTTTCTCAGTCTACCTGGTGTCAAACTGTGACAAAAACGAGCAAACCGCACGACGTGACGGCGGACGGTATAGTGGCTATCCTAGCCCTCAAACCGGCACATGATTGCTTCTTCTTTACTATTCTAGCATTTCTCATATTTGCGTTAAAAATCATAACCGCAGGGTGTGTTCGTTAAACTTAAAAATTAGTTCTACTAGTGACTGCAATGTTCAAACATTTTTTTTATTAACCTAAAAACAACACCCTATATTACCTCTGTCACTTAGCGTTGTCAGTGACTGGAATTTAGCGGCAATGTCACATAATTGCCGTCACTAAGGATATTATAAACAAGCAAACAAAATAAATGACACGCGATCATAATAAGTTGTACCCTTGACCTAGTACTTTTCTCCTCTTGCTGAATAAATCCTTGAGAATATTGTTTAGTTTCTAGTACGCATGTAATAAGAACTAGACAGTCGGACTGGCAATATCGCAATGTATCCGTTTACTTAAAATTGACCGCGCGGTCATTGACCTGACGGTGGACTTGTCAAGCAAACACATGACGTGTGCTTTAAACTACTATTTAGTAGTTTGGAGCACCATACCTGATATGTGGTATCTATTAATGTCACAATTTCACGAACGCATTGTGTAAATACTAACTCGATCAAAATTTTTACAATAAATTAAATAATTAATAAATTTCGCAATATCGTAGTATATCGTAGTAATATCGCTCGTACTTCAGATAACGTCAAATCGACCGTAAGATGCCAATATCTCCTAAGTGCTTTGATGGCGAGTTTACAGGAGACCATAAAAACTAAAATTTTAACAAAATACGGATGGTATTTATGAACCCAACATCAAAGTTTGTTATTTAACAGTATTTTTATATTGCTAAGAAGAAAATATTCCTTTAGGGCTAAGTAAGTTAGAAGGTATTTCCATAAAAAATGATTAGCATAAAAATCAGTTAGATGTTATTTCTTCCTGGTGTAAGTTCTTGAAAAGAAAACAAATTACATTTTTGAAATAATATATTATTCGAGAAATAAAAATAAAAGTAGCCACTTCTAACATTAATATATAAAGCTAACAGAAGGCCCAAAAAGACAAACTATATATTAATACGTGAAGCAAAAATTTTGTACCCTTTTTACGAAAATTGCGTGGACAGAGGAGTATGCAATTTCCCACACTTATAAAGAATATAGAGCAGGAGTGCAGAATGTAAATTTTTTTTTTTATTATTCATAAAAAACAAATTACACTTAAAAAAAAACATTAAACATACTACCATCTATTTGACACACACACGCATGCATACTATTTGTTTAATGTCAAACTTTTTTTATTGCTTATATTCTGTGGTCTTCTGTGGTATATTGTTTGTCTTTATTAATATTTGTCTATAGTGTAGCCTTGGCGAAATCTGATTCTCTTCTTTTTCTCCACCTTATTCCCACTAGGTGGGGCCGGCACAGCAAATTTTTCTCTTCCATTCTCTTCTATCAGCCGTTATTTCAACACTCATTCCTCTATCTCTCATATCGTCATTCAAACATGGATGGATGGACCATGTCTTCTTCGGTCGACCTCTTTCCCCTCTACCTTGCACTACCATTTTCATACATCTCCTAGTTACATGCATCTTCTCGCTACGCATCACATGTCCATACCACGCTAACCTGTCTGTGATTATAGAAGTATAATAATACTCTTTGACAATAGAATCATAATGGGGTACAAACTTATAATTTTAATTAATTATAGTCTAATTTCCACTACCGGGGGACCACTAGTTTCAGTAAAAATGTGACGATCGAAATGATAAATAGGTAGGTAAGTTAGTAGGTAAGGTACATACCTTGCATTCATTAGTATCCGCGTTCCATATGCGCACGGTCTGATCGTTTGAGCAGGAAGCGAGCAGGGTCCCGTCCGGCGACACGCGCACCATACGCACCCACTCGCGGTGACCTTTGTATGTCTTGATGCAGTACCTATTCAAAATATAAGGTACATGCATATTTAAGTGACCTCACTTTAAATTTTATAAATCTGAATGTACGTTGTCACATTGAGAGTTTTCCAACTTAAATCTTTATATTACCTCGTAAGAGGTTCGGTCCCCTGACCGAAAATAAGGGACTGATGTCAACATTTTATTTTAAACTTCCCAGATTTTTTTTGTTACATCATTCGCTCATTCACTCACTCCACTGTGAAGAATTTGGTCGCAATATACAGCTATATTACAGACCCCGCGATTCCCTACAGACCGTGGATCGCACGTTTTCAATCCCAATTACACAGCGTTTGGAACAAAAATAATCAATTCTCTTGAGTCCTGTTCGTGTAGATTCCTTACCCAGTGGCGACCTCCCAGGCTTTGATAGTTTTATCCCGACTGGCGGAGTACACGATGTCGCCGCTAGGAGAGAAAGCCACCGAGGAGACGTTGTGGTCGTGTCCGTGCATCGTCTTGATGCACTCGAACGTCTGATTGAAATCCCACAGCTTGATCGACATGTCGGCGCTGCAAGACACTGAAATGGAAAACGTTTTCATAGTCTCATCAATTTCTTTCTTTTAAGGGATTTTATGTCCTGGTAACTAAGACCTTAAGGTCAAATGTTATTTTAATTTTAATGAAAACTGCACTATATAAAAACTGATAATATGAAGTGAAATGAAGTTGATTAATATAAAACATGGCATGTAATGAAATGAAATTAAATGAGATGATATGAGATGAAATATAATGTAATTCAAATGGTGGTCATTTACTGAGACTTTTTCAGTGGACTTTTTGGAGGATCTCAAGAAGTTTCCAGCGGCTTTGTTTTATTTTCACACATTTGTGCACCTTAACGGAAACAGTTAATAAACCACCGTTATTACAAATTTAAACCTAAAGAAAAACTGAATACATAAAATAAAACTAATCACACAACTTCACTCCTCGCTTTCCCGCCAAAAAGTCCCTCAATTTCATTCCGGTTAAAAGTTAACCTCAATTTTTAATTATGTCAAAAGTGGGGGTATATGTCCCCCTATGTTGCACATAAAACTAATGCAATTCAATGAAAAATCGAACACAATAGTACAAATAATAAGGCAGCATCATATTGGGGGCGTTAGCGTTTTAACGCGGTACTCCTGTTTCTCTTTGAGGGTGTTCAGTGTCTTGAGCAAGTCTCGGTGACCCGCACCAGTACGTACTTTTAGGTTACTAGCCGTACTCGCCCGCTTCGCTGAGCATTTAAACTTAACATTATTATTTATTGTCATTATTATTAGGGAGTCCAACACTCACATAAATATTAGCCTATCCATTAAGTACATGTATTTTCTACATGGATACCAAGTTTTAAGTCAATCGGATGCATGGTTCAGTAGTTATAACGGAACATCCGTAAAAACCACTGTAGATTTATTTATTAGTGCAGACTAGTAACATGTCATAACGAAAGGTAGAAAAGAAACATATACGTGGATCGTGGAAGGACCGTCTCGTCATGTGACTTGATTATGCAAAAGCCTTATAATCAAATATAGTTTTAGATGTAAAAAAAAATGTCTTTACTCTATGCATCTGATGGTTCGCTATAGGTACTACTTTTTTTTATTTTATTGCCCTTGTTGGCAGACGAGCATACGGCCCATCTGATGGTGAGTGGTTACCGTCGCCCATGGACTTCAGCAATGCCAGGGGCAGAGCCAAGCCGCTGCCTACCGTTAAGTATGTGTTATTTCGTTTAAATATATTCGTACCAATCTTTTTACTGCCTTATTAACGGGACCTGCAGTTATTATGCAGAGAGATGAGACAGATGTTCGACTCTAAGCGCATTGCTTCTGCTTTTTGTGGTTTGGTTAAAGGTAAACTAATGAGTGGGGACCGCGAATTGGCAGACGCAGTGTAGGACGCCCTCAGGCTCGGTGAAGTGATGATCTGTGCAGGGTGGCTGGCAGCAGCTGGATGAAAGAAGCCGAGGATCGCGCTCAGTGGTGAGCAATTGGAGAGTCCCATGTCCAGCAGTGGACTGCTACAGGCTGATGATGATTATGATGAAACTAATGAGAATGTAATTATTATACATACCAAGTAATTTTCCATGGTGGTCGAAAGCAATGTCCTGTACGGAGTCGGTGTGACCCTTCAATGTTCGTTCGTACTCGCCGCTCTCAAAGTCCCAAACTTTTATGGTTGCGTCCTCGCTCGAGGACACCATCAAGCTGAACACGGGGTGAAATATTACCTGCAATTTTGTTTTGTTTACGCTATTATAACAATCACATACGTAGTTTTTAAAAAAAAAAACATTTTTTTATTGCTTAGGTGGTTGGATGAGCTCACAGCCCATCTGGTGTTAAGTGGTTACTGGAGCCCGTAGACATCTACAACGTAAATGAGTCACCCACTTGAGATATAAGTTCTAAGATCTCAGTATAATTACAACGGCTGCCCAACCCTTCAAACTGAAACTCATTACTGCTTCACGGCAGAAATAGGTAGGGTGGTGGTACCTACCCGCGCGGACTCACAAGAGGTCTTACCACAAGTCTAAAAAATCTAATTAAAAAATTGAAAATTTACATTTAAAACGCGTGCAATAATCAAACACGCACTCAACGGTTTCATCATTCGTATACATCATAGAAAGCGTACTAGATACGATTGTCTGGAAACGACAGGGGAAACTGACAGCAAAAAGCTAAACAATAACATCTAGTCCCTACAGCAAAACTCGTACAAGACTCGTGCTCAAAACTTTCATTGCACTAGAAAGTTACAAATTTGTCTAGTCCATTAATGCAATTTCATGATATTTTTATTAAACTAAATTATAGTGTGAGATAATTTTTAAAGTTTAATGTTGCGATCTTTCAAGTGTTTACGTTTTTAATGTTTTAAGTAACATTTACCAAATAAAGTATTACGAAAAATTTATATAGTATTTAGCAAACAAAGCATTCCATAAGTTTAAAATCACAATAAACTTCATGAAACTGTAATAGTTTGAATTTGTTTAAGACTCGTGAAAATCGGACGAAATATTGAAAAAAAGATTTAGAAATACTCATGTTTTAGATTAGAGCTAGACTAGATGAACTAAAGATTAATGTTGAATTATAGTTTATTTATATGCATCGATGATGTACTGAGTAAGAGACCCGGCAACAACAACCCCGTGCCAAACGAAACTACTATGGCATAGGTCAAATTCTTTAGCAGGTACTTACTGTCCGTAAATACATTAATATTTTTGTTCATAAATATGTCTTTATAGTTACACGACTGAACGAGCTCATAACATACTTGGTGTTGAATGCTTAACAGACATCAACATCTTAAATGCCGCCTCCCATTTTCGGGCATCAGTTCAAAGACCCAATCCTGTAGTACCACTGTTGCCCCACCCTGTAGGGTGGAAAGCAATACTGCTTCGCGGCAGGTATAGGCGGAGTGGAGGTACCTACCTACCCATTCGGATTCACACGACGCCCTAGTACCAGAATATGTTTTCACGGATCACTTCCACAGCGAAGGAATACCATCAAATCAAATCTAAGATATTTGCATAATAACCATTGGCTAGGGCGCATGGTAAGTAGTCTTGTGTGATCCAATATGAAAATTTAATGGACAATATTTTTTTTTTATAAAATTATTTTTTAAGCATACAATACACATTATTACAAGCTAAAAGGATACACAAAAAATAACAACAAGTAAAAAAAACACTGGCTTGCAACATAAGCCATGTATGTGCGCACGTCTAGGCAAAACAAATGTGTTGAGTTTGTACACAATGGTCAATTTGTATTATTAAAATATAATCGAGACTTCGATTTTATATTCGACGGTCTTTGTTTACTACTTAAGACCAGATAATTACTGAGCTCTTATGACAATCTACGGCCAAAGAGAGCCTCAAAAAAAGTGGTTTTTTAAACATGAACACACAAAGGCACTTCATTTCCTCTTTCATTAAAAATATTTCTGCGTTGACGTATGACTATTTTATCTTCATTAAATTATGTATTGGTTGGTTTTTTCAGATGCGACCTCAATGGTTTGAAGTAAAAGTTCAAAGGTAACTAAACCAATAATAATTACCAAGACACAACTTTCCAGTTTCTTGTTGTTCGTTTTACGTGAATTTAGAACGGACGTGCTTGTTTTGTTTGCAAATTTAATTTCACTAGAGGTCCCGCAGTAGTCGAAATTCGACTATAATTAATTGGGATTATAAGTTTGTACACTATTATGTGTGTATTTTGTACTTCGATAATCACAAATTTCGCCAAACTACACTATAAAAATATTAACAAAGACAAACAGTATTTAATCTATTCTCAATTTGACAACAGACGTCAAGAACAAAAGATTGACAATAAATAGTATGCATGCGTGTGTGCGTCAAATACATATTATGTAGTATGTGTAATGTTTTCTTTATTGATTTAATGTATCTTATAGGCATTATTTAAAAAAAATATTAGCATTGTGCACTTCTTCTCTATATTCTCTATAAGTGTAGAAAATTTCATACTCCTCCGTCCGCGCAATTTTCGTAAAAAGGGATACAGAGTTTTTGCTTCACGTATTAATATATAGATTGTTAGTGTAGTTTATGTTTGTGTGCAATGTATTTATTACCTTAGTAATAGTGGCCCTGTGTCCAGTGAGACAAAACTTCTCGGGTGGACGCGGAATCCATTCTGTTGGAGTGCGCTTAGCTCGCGTTGGAGCACCCTCGATGAATTCCTTCTGAGCCTCCGACAATTTCGATTCCAGTTCCATAACCTTATACAAACATTACAACAATGTTACATATTGCGTGTGCTCGTTTATGATTTTTTTTAAAAAACCTACATACTCTTCAAAGCTACGAACCGCACTGAGTTTGTATAGTCCTTAATTACTTAGAAATACTGACTGCAGCTGTATTGGAACATCTGCTTTAACTCGAATAATTTTATAGATGTTTAACATGACCCGACAAAGGGTGATGTCTCAAGTTTTGCATCAAAAAGAAACCTGTGCGTAATTACAAGGATACACGGTACATTTACATTGAAATTATTTGAAAATTCTCATAAGAGTGCAACCAATTATTATTATTAATAAGTCTTCTATCGCCTTGAAACGCGTTCGAATTACTATTCGTATAGTGATAGTCGATCGGTAAGTCGTGTCAGACTAATAAGCAATTCATCGAGAGGAATAGTAGAACTCTGGCATCGACCGGCCGCCCTAGAAAACGTCACGACCTAGATACTGCCGACTGAGAGTTTTGCAGATCACTTCCATGTACCAGCAACCAAATATTCAGAATGAAGAAAAAAAAATTGAATTTTAAATGTCTTCTTCGTCGCTTTCTTCATTACTGAAGGTCGTGTCCCTAAACACGGTGAGCCGCAGCAGGGTGGCCAGTAACATATTTCACACCGTGTGACCTGGACTCGACACGGCGCCGGATGGTAGCCGGATCGCATACAGTCTCATTCTGTACTTGGTCCACTTTTATAGGATTACTTGGGAAAACTAGCGCAGTGGTTTGCCTTCTGCGCCGCAGTGAAGTTGGTTGGGGTAGTCAGTACGCCCTGCTGCCAACGACTGACCTCCGGTGTAAAGTATCTATAGATTACCGGAATTCCCCCTCTCTCATACAGTCTGTATGTACTATGTATTAATTTTAAATGTATGTAATATCAAATAAATTATGATCATATAGACTGTTTTTTCTGTTTACGACATATATAAGGAAAAACCTTTTTCTGAAGTCTGATGACGGAGGTCCATTTCTTCTCCAAGAGGCCACCGAACTTGCGATCCATTTCGCCGGTCATGTCGGCTTCTTTCTTGAACGCTTCCAGCGCGTCATTGTAACCGTTACTGCCTAGATAATCGGCAATCGCTTTGTTCCTGTAAGAAAATAATCGATTATTTTTTTAAACTACTCAATTAAGGAGTTATTTGGTACGTTTACATTAAGCAACAATAACTTGTTCACGATCTACAAACACAACGTATGAAACGGATGTTTAGAATAAAAAACATTTGTATGACGTCAACACAAAACAATGAATGCAAAAAAGTTTTTGCCATAAAACCGACAGTAAACATTTATTAATATTGACTTATTTTGCGTTACATTAATTAATATAACTTGACTTATATAGGTAGTAACAAAAAAACATGATAATTACAAATCACCCGACCTGGAATATGTTTCTGAATATGTCAGTATTCCTAAGAGCACAATATTTTTGAGTAAGTACTTATTGCGTGTTTTTTTAACTAAGATAATTTGGTAGTGCAATTTTATTAAGAGACACATTAATTAGAGCATTTAATAAACCGAGCTATTAATTCTTAATCGCGGCATTCATTACGCTAACCCGGATCCGAGTTTCAGACGATACGCACTAGACCTAAACAAATCGTCAATAATTAAAATTTTACGACGAATGCTGCACGCACATTTGTAAACTATAATATAAAAGGTTTATTGCTTAGATGGGTGGACGAGCTCACAGCCTACCTGGTGTTTAGTGGTTACTGGAGCCCATACACATCTACTACGTAAATGCGCCACCCACCTTGAGATATAGTTCTATGGTCTCAGTATAGTTACACTATAGGTTAAGGTTAACTTTTATCGCCGTAAAGGGGATTGCCCACTCTCCATAGTGTGCTAGGCCCAAGATGGACATCAAATATTACTATAAAAATGTACTGATTCAAATTCTTGGATATGTTGAAATGTATTGGATATCTAAAAAATATATTGAAATTGACGCCACTATTATAAAAAATATAATAAAAATAAAAACTCGTTTTGAGGTTAATTTTCTATATAAATAAGTGTCGGATTGTGAGATACTTCAAGAACTTTTCTTTTCTTAATGTTTAAGATGTTCCTAATGTATTTTTATCCAATAGGGTATAAAAACACAATTCTTTAAATATCTATATTTTCTTCATCTTCATACACAATTAGTATCATCTAAAAATAGCAAAGGAGAGCATATACACGGTTTTAAATCTCGGTCAGGGTAAAACCACAATTCACACAATGTTTTTTAGTCGTAGTATGAAACGTTATTGATAAAAGTAAAATAAATCGAAGAAAAATCAAAACACATCCATTTTGTACGCAAGCACAACACCACAAGCAGCAAGCGAAGTGTCAGTCAGTCAGATTAAATTCAGTGTTGTCAGTATAAAGAAAAATAATTACATGAAATTCATATATCGATTATTTTTTTAAATAACCGATAATTGATTTATATCTTAATCTTTTTTTTACGAGTACACATTATTTTTTATGTTTTTGTTTTAGTTGTACATATTTAAATAACAATACTAGTAAAGTTTTTTTTATTGCTTAGATGGGTGGGCGAGCTCACAGCCACCCTGGTGTTGCTAAGTGGTTACTCGAGCCCACATACATCTACAACGTAAATGCGCCACCCACCTTGAGATATAAGTTCTAAGGTCTCAAGTATAGTTACAAGTTAAAGTCCAATGGGTATGTCTTCGATGTTATTTTATGTGCATAAAATCCATTAAAATCGTTTGATTAATGATAATACTTAAAATGATTTATTTATATGTTTTATTTATATACTCAAAATATTTACTTCATACGTAAAAGGATTTGAAGCTGGCAATATTTTTCCCGCAAAAATAAAAATCCTTGTTTTTTCAATAGAGTTACTTTTTTTAAACTACTTATTGTAAACTAAAGTGGCGCTTATTTGCAAGAAAGTAAATGCATATTTATTTATGACAAAATTAATGCACTAAGTATTTTTTCTATAATCTATTGTCCGCTTTGGGCCTAAAATGGGCCATCCCCTTTTTTCCCCGGCATTTTCACAATTTCAAAAATTAGTCAATAATTATAAATGTGTTTTATAAAACGAATGTACATACTTGTTACGATGAGTTAACATTTTTAAGTACCTAATTCTTTATTGACATATAGATGAGATCATCACCTGTGCTATAAAGGACAACGTAATGCAAATATTATGAACAACTTGTTTAGTTTCGTCAAAATAAAAGCAAGGTTGCCTACCAGACGAATAAAATGTAAATAATGTGATAACAAAATCCACAAAAAGATATTGTTTTAAATTATGAATAAATTCTAGATTAAACTGTATTAAAACAATTTATCTAAATTGACATTTTCATGCTACACTATGGGATTAAGAAGAAATTTACATAGTGTTTAGTTACTACATACAAACTTTTTTTTAACGCTGGGGCATATGTTTACGCATACCCGTCGAAGGGGGTTACAGACCGCATTATGTCGGACTCCGGCGCCTCCAGAAAAGAAGAGGGAGAAGAGGAAGACCTGGCTACATACGAACTATAGATTTAATCTATCTTTATGTCTATTATTATATCTTCCAAGGATGTATTTGTACGATATTGTATTAGATCATTTTTAATTATTTTTTGTGACATGTTTCCAAAGCTTTTGTTTGTCGACCAAGGAAGGACATCGACACAGTGGACAAACATGTTTATTTTAGAAACCAGCCGCTACATTTACGTGGGGGCCGAGATTACGTCATTACATTTTGCCGATACATAATTATAGTCAATAATGAAATAAAAGGAGACTTGCATAATATTTGCGCTTTGAAATAGTCTGAAATGAAATAAATACATAAGAGGTTGTCATTAAAAACATCGTTTAGTAATAATTTCTTAAGAAATATTGGACTTAATATAGTGTGATTACATTTTTTTTTACATTTTCTTGTTGTAACGATGATCTCTTCGTAAAATTGGTATCGAAGTAATATTTAGTTGTTTCATTCTTAAGCAAAGTGGCGGTAGCTATAATATCATACAACACAAGATATTTGACAGATACCTGAATCTCGCTTACAACATTTTCACGAGAAAATTTCCACATTATACTCGTATACAAGTTCCGAACAAAAATATTGGACCGTCGGTTTACCGAAAAATATCACCAGCTCGGTGGAAGATCTTCTCTTTGTCGTATACTCCCACAAGCAAGTTATATATTATGTGCTTTTTTTATTGCTTAGATGGGTGGCCGATCTCACAGCCCACCTGGTGTGAAGTGGTTACTGAAGCCCATAGACATCCACAACGTAAATGCGCCACCCATCTTGAGATATAAGTTCTAAGGTCTCAAGTATAGTTCAAGCCGAAACGCATGACTGCTTAACGGCAGAAATAGGCGGGGCGGTGGTACCTGTCCGTACGAACTCACAAGAAGTCCTACCACCAGTGCTTACGCAAATTATAATTTTTACGGGTTTCATTTTTATTACACGATGTTATTCCTTCACCGTGGAAGTCAATCGTGAACATTTTTTGAGTACGTATTTCATTAGAAAAATTGGTACCCGCCTGAGATTCGAACACCGGTGTATCGCTCAACACGAATGCACCGGACGTCTTATCCGTTAGGCCACGGTGACTTCTACGTGTCTACGATACTACGTGTTTTCACATATAGCAGTTTTGAAATTAACAGAATTATTTTGTTCATCATCATTTAATAGTGCGTGGAAAAGACAAACAAATGGTTTTAAATCAATATAATATTCTATGTGACAATTTTCTGTTCAAATAAAACTAATAATTACGAAAATATCGATACTAAAATATCCGTCGCGGTATTGGGATAGAGCGAAAGTGGTTTCGTGCGTTCGCATAGTGGCGCGGGCTGATCTGGGACCGCCTGAGAAAATAACTTTCACGGTACATTTCCTACGTTAACAGTCCAGTTATTGTACTAGGGCTGTCGACTTTTGTTGAACCCGAGTTGTTGTTGTAAGACAAACACTATGCTGCGGAGGGGGGATGATCCAACTCTCACGGTATTGACAATATAAAATAGAATGTTTCTCTCCGCATGAAAACCAAAAATAACATTCAATTAAACATATTGCAATGGGGGCTGACCATGTGAAACGCAATTAAAGCGTGAACCTCAACTTTATGACTCTGAAGTTTTTTTTTTCCTACCTAAGCTGGTAGCCTTGAGAGGCTATTCCAGCGTAACCTTAACTATTAGGTGAGCTCACGAGTCTCAAACCTGACGACGTTGCTAACACGAACCGTAGCAAGAGCCGTGCTTCGCAGAATCTACCACCGGATCGGAAACCCGACCCACTGAGAAGATCCGGCGAGAAACTCAGTGGGCTGTGTCTGAGGGTTAATTTACTCGTCGAGCCCTTCGTCGCAAGCGACGGGTTCGAAGAGAACGGTGACCGGTGCTTGAAGTACCTAAAAGCACCGTTGTGGATCGGGAGGATCCAAGATGACGTGTTTTGGGCGACGTCTACTGCTATCCATTCTTTCCGCAGGATCGGGAATGATGACTAAAGTATCATCATGCATACGAACTGGATAATTTTGTGATTAATCTGTATTCAAGCGACGTCGGATTCAATTACAAGCATTTTTACACTATATCAATCGTTTGCAAAATTATAGATTTATTTATCATTTTAAGTTCACATTCATTTTTTATCTATAATTATGGTATAAATTGTATGATTGAATTCACCCGTTTCTTAATTATGGAAATTCCACTGCTTTTTATAATAATAAATTGCTCATGTTTTCTTGTCATTTTGTTTAATGATAAGAACCCGAAATAGTAGTAGTGACCTCACTTCGACGATTCGAAATTCCAATAGTTGTAACTTAGTTAAGATAAACAAAATCACTATGATAATGTAATTCTTCGAAAATTTTACACTGTTATCTCTTATATTAAAGCATGCACGCGTTACGCACTTTGACTAACCCTAGCATTACCAAACTTTGTGAGCGCCGGCTGTTACTTACCAATAGTTGGAATTTAGGCTAACATGGCTTTTTTAAGTTTGTGAGCCTCTAAAATAAGATAACCTTGA